TGCAATCCCTGTTGAACACAACTCACTGTGGGAAACACTCGCTCTCTTTATTAAGACCAATCGAGAAGAGAATACAAGACACTCTGTAGAATACTTCTGCTTTTTATTGTTTTTAGATTTCTTGGATGAATAACCTAGGTAGGGTGGGGGTATTTATACTAAGAGTAAACAATCTATATTTAACCAATCTAAATCTAGACCTAACCGATTTGAATCTAGACCTAACAAATTGAATCTTTCTCCTAAAATATCTACATCTCTTTCTCCTAAAATCTCTACTAAAATAAATATACTGGGCTCGTACAATTAGGCTTGACTCTATTGGGCTAGTACAATTATTGGGCTTGACTCTATTGGGCTAGTGATGATATTTCAACACTCCCCCTCAGCACTAGTCCTCATTCGCTGCATCATGTTGAGCTGACAGCGAAAGCTCTCATGTTTGCTAGTATTCAACCCTTTTGTAAACAAGTCTGCCACTTGGTCATCTGTCTTGATCTGCTGCATCTCAATTTCTTCCTTTAGGACCTTCTCTCTAATGAAATGGTAGTGCACCTCCACATGCTTTGTTCTAGCATGAAACACTGGATTTTCTGCAAGGCGAATCGCAGATTGGTTGTCGCAAAGAAGTGATATTGGATAGTCAATTTTCTGGTGCAAATCTTCCATCAAGAGTTTTAGCCATGTACTTTCCTGGGCTGCTCCAGCCGCTGCTCTATACTCTGCTTCTGTAGTTGATAATGATACTGTTGGTTGTCTCTTGCTACACCAAGAAATTGTTCCCGAACCAAACTTGAACACATACCCAGTGGTTGACCTCCGAGTATCGTGGTCTCCTGCATAGTCAGCATCACAGTATCCAACTAGCTTGCAGTCTTTGCTTCTTTTGTACAAAAGACCATAGTCGATTGTACCTTTGATATATCTCAAGATCCGTCGAGCTGCATCCAGATGAGGCTTCTTTGGACTTTGCATGTATCGACTCATAACCCCAACTGCATACGAGATATCAGGTCGAGTTAAAGTTAGGTAGATAAGACTACCTACTAGTTGTCGGTACGTTGTTTCATCGTTCAACTCTTTGCCTTCATGTGCACAAATCTTGGCATTTATCTCCATCGGTGTTGAAACTTGCTTGCACTCTAACATGTTGAACTTCTGAAGCATGTCTCTGGTATACTTTTGTTGGCAGAGAAACAGTCCTTCATCTGTGCGATCAACTTCTAGGCCTAAGAAGTGTTTAAGCTCTCCTAGCTCTTTCATCTGAAAGCGTATTGATAAATTTTCTCTTGTTTGATAAATTTCTCTTTCATCGTCCCCGGTGATAATCAAATCGTCCACGTAGACCAACACAATTGTCAAATTTCCTTCTCTTTCTTTGATGAATAGGCTTGAGTCTGCATGCGCAACTGAATAACCACTTTGGGTAAGAAATTCAGCAATCTTACCATACCAAGCTCTCGGTGCTTGTTTCAGTCCATAAAGAGCTTTTCTAAGCTTGCATACATAATTAGGATTAGCTGCACTCTCAAATCCCTTTGGTTGGTTCATATAAATCTCCCTGTCTAGCTCTCCGTGCAAGAAGGCATTCTTCACATCCATTTGCCACAGTTTCCAATCTTTACTTGCTGCGAGTGCTAGCAGAACTCGTACGGTAGTAATCTTTGCCACTGGACTGAATGTTTCATCATAATCTAGTCCATATTGTTGAGAAAATCCTCGAGCCACGAGTCGAGCCTTGTATCTCTCGATTGATCCATCCGGTCGACGCTTTATTTTATAGACCCACTTGCAAGAGACGGGTTTGATATCTCCTAGTCTTGGCACTAGTTCCCAAGTTTGATTATGCTCCAAGGCTATAATTTCTTCCTCCATCGCTTTCTGCCAAACCGAGTTTTGTGATGCTTCTTCATATGTCTCTGGTTCGTAAACTCTATCTTCTACAATAGCTGCATTTGCATACTTAGGATTTGGCCTTCGGATTCTATTTGATCGCCTAAGTTGTTGATGTGTTGTTTCATTTTTATCAGATTCGCTTGATTGAGTCACCTCCTGCTTGTCAATATCAATGTCGCTTGGACTTTCAGATGCATCGAAATTTGATTGAATTTGTGTAGTTTGCTCCCCCAGCTTCTGTTGTAGAATTTCTTCAATGTTTGAATCTGATAAGACTTTCTTCTCCGAGGACCACCATGTAGATGCTTCATCAAAAACTACATCTCTTGATGTATAGTATTTTCCACTTGTTGGATCACAGCACCTCCATCCTTTTCTTTGATTGTCGTATCCAACAAATACACACTTGACTGCTTTCTTGTCAAACTTGCTACGTAGATGGTCAGGCACAAATACATAGCAAACACAGCCAAATACTCGGAAGTAACTAATTGTAGGTTTCATATCCCATAGTATCTCAAATGGTGAGACGAACCCTAGCTTTGGTTGAGGAAGCTTGTTGATCACATGGGCAGCAGTTCGCATAGCTTCAGCCCAAAATCTTCCTGGAACGTTCTTTGCGTGTAACATGCTTCGACAGGTTTCTGCAAGGTGTCGATTCTTTCTTTCTGCTACACCATTTTGTTGTGGCGTGTTGGCACATGTAAATTGACGTCGTATCCCACACTCGTGTAAATATTGATCGAACTCATCTGACGTGTATTCTCCGCCATTGTCTGAACGTAGACAACGAATCTTCGCTCCTACTTCTCCTTCGACCATCATCTTGAATTCTTGAAACTTTGAGAACGTGTCAGACTTTTCTTTCATAAAGAAAATCCACACATATCTTGAGTAGTCGTCAATAAATGTCACCATATACCGCATTCCGCTGATCGATGCTTGTTTGACTGGGCCGAACAAATCAGAGTGAACTAACTCTAATGGTTTCTTTGCTTTGAAACTTGACTCTTTGTATGGTAATTGATGAGCTTTACCATACTGACATCCAGCGCAGACAACGTCTGTTTTGACTTCCAGTTGTGGTAGACCTTTGAGCATAGATTTCTCCATAATCAGCTTCAACTTATGGTAGCTAATATGTCCCAATCTTGCATGCCATAGATCTGTCGTCTCATTCTTTCGGGTCTTGTCAACATAGGCAGACTCTGCAGATAGAACGTAGACAGACTCCACTCTTCGTCCTTCTATCGTCGGCTTTCCTATTATCTTAACATCTTGATAAACTTTTACATCTTCTGGCCCAAACAAGACATAGCTTCCTGATGTTGTTAGTTGTGACACTGACAACAAGTTCTTCTTTATACCCGGTACATGATAAACATTATGTAGCGACACTGTATCAGACTTATTGCCAGGCATGATTGTCGTATTGCCGATTTGAGCAATTGATAACTGTGTGTTATTTGCTGTACGTACCATACGACTTCCTTTGTACTCTTTCTTGTCTTGCAATTTTCTCTGATCGCCAGTCATGTGATTTGAACATCCTGAATCAACGATCCAGTCATTCTCATAGTTGATATGGTCTTCCATTGTCGCCATGAGTGCTAGCTCGTCTTCTTCTATGGGACATAGTACCTCTGCATCCCATTCATCTTCTATCTTCTTTTTGGATATTGCCACATTGTTTTCAATGGTCTTTTTCCTGGACCAACAATCTCTAGACATATGGCCCTTTTTCCCGCAGTTATAGCAAATACCACCAAATCTCGTTCTTTGAAAACTCTTGTTGTCGTTCTTCTGAGCTCTCTCAGGTTGTGCAATCCCTTGGTGGCTTCTTCTTTTGTCACCATTGTATCCACGTCTGGTAGACGGCCTATTATTGCTCTGACTTTCACTCGTGTAGAGTGCTTCTTCACCCTTCAACGTGAAGCCTCCCATTTGTTTAGCCATGGCTTCTTGGCTGGCTAACAAATTTTCGAACTCTACCAGTGATGGTTGAGTGGGCCATCCTTGTACAGCAGCAATGAAGCTTCGATATTCTGGTCGCAATCCGTGGATTATAATCCTCTTCATTCGAGATTCTACAATGGCGGACTTTGGGTCTAGTTCAGTAATCTCCCGACAGATCGATTTGACCTTGTGGAAGTACTGAGCAATCGTCATATCACGTTGTGAAATTGACAACAACTCATTCTCCAGAAGTTGTAGTCTCGTATCATTCTTCTTTGAGAACAACATCACGAATGTGTCCCATGCTTCTTTCGGTGTCTTGTCATCCCAAATATGTTCTAACATCTCTTCTCCGATGGTGGTCTTCAAGGCAAACATTGCTTTGCCTGCTTTGATTCTCCATTTGCGCAAGGCGTCGTTAGAATCCTCCTCTGGCGGCGTAGTTTCACACCCGCCAACGATCTCCCAAAGATCCTGTCCTTGTAAATAGGACATCATGCATGTTGCCCACGTGTTGTAGTTGTTGTTGTTGAGTTTCTTAATTCCTCCAACGATTTGGAAATCACTCATCGTGTTGGCCATACCTCAGTAATACCAAACAAGTTCTTTTGACACAAGACTTGCAGAGTCACAGACTTCTCACGACACAAAAGAAACTCACTCACCACTAATCTCAAGAAATCGTTTCTGATGTGGAAGATCAGGCAGAGCTGCAACCACAGAGCATACTAAGGATTCCAAGAGATCAGATAACCTACACTAACCTCGCTCTGATACCAAATGTTGAACACAACTCACTGTGGGAAACACTCGCTCTCTTTATTAAGACCAATCGAGAAGAGAATACAAGACACTCTGTAGAATACTTCTGCTTTTTATTGTTTTTAGATTTCTTGGATGAATAACCTAGGTAGGGTGGGGGTATTTATACTAAGAGTAAACAATCTATATTTAACCAATCTAAATCTAGACCTAACCGATTTGAATCTAGACCTAACAAATTGAATCTTTCTCCTAAAATATCTACATCTCTTTCTCCTAAAATCTCTACTAAAATAAATATACTGGGCTCGTACAATTAGGCTTGACTCTATTGGGCTAGTACAATTATTGGGCTTGACTCTATTGGGCTAGTGATGATATTTCAACAATCCCCTCATCAATGGCGGGTCTCTCTGTTTGCTTACTTTCTTCGTCTCTCTCCCTCGAACTTAGAGATTCACTGATCTCTCTCTCATGGATGACAATGGAACCATTTGATTTTCAAAGACGGAAGGAAGAAAGAAGATGAACCTTCTTCCCTAATCCCAAAACATTCCCCTCTTGACACGAACGGTTATTTTTCCCTTTTCTTTTCTACAATCTCTATCAGATCTTTTCCTTCTAATCCACCATTTTCTCACGGATTTTGCTTTAACATCACTTTCTGTTCGTATACCGGACGTGTATCGTCTTTTCGCTATTCACGCGTTTGATTTCTTCTTTGCTTTTAAATTCAGCATTGTTTCTTCTGCGATAGATAGAAATTTTGGATGTAGTTCTGGTTTCAAATTTGAGGACAGTACAAGATTGTTATTTCTCTTTGAAGATTCTGCTACTTTCTTGACTTGGTTGGACTGAAGTATAACTGTTTCCTTTATTTTTTGTGGTTATTTATGGTTTCTTCTTGAATTTCTGTATTCGTGAGTGGCTTCGGTGGTTTATATTCTCGCAAGAGCCTTGTTCAAGTAAATTTGGAGTTGTTTTGAGATTTTGAATTGGTGACGAATTTGTTACGCAATTTCTAACGGTTCTCAAGTGTTAAAAATTCCTCAGAAATCATGTAGGAGATGCATATTCTGTTCTTCGAGTAAAGGTGTTTTGTCAAATTGCGAGTCTTCAAACAGAATCACTTCAACACAATGAAAGTTTTTTTTCTTAAGATTGACAGTTCTTACTTTTTAGTTCGTTTCTGTTACGGAATTGTTCTTGGTCATGTTTACTATCGTATCTGAACTTGATTTCTTCCGGTAATTTTCTGCAGAATTTGATTAGTTCTGTAGTCATTGTTAGCGGTGAAAAACTTAATTGGAAGCTGATTAGGCTGTGGATTACAGTCAACTTAATCTTCATCGGTATGCTGGTGTCTGCCATGTACAGGTGCGTTCTGTGTCAAAGATTCTCAGTAACTCTTTTGTTTTGCTTTTTGGTACTCATGACTGAAGTTTGGGGTTCTTGGTTTCAGTTCGAAATATATAAATATTGCAATGGAATTTTGAAAAATGTGACAAACATAATGACTGCTTCCATGTGGTGTTGCTAAATAATTTATTATCTGTGCCGTTTGGTGGAGTATTGATTTTCTAATTTGGTGAATGGGCTTATGTAGTGAATGCGTTAGTAGATTCTTGTTCCTTTTTCTTTGCATATTCTCCAAGTTTCATCAGCTAAACAGTTTTTCTCCCACCATCCCCAATTCCTAGTGAGGTCATAAAATTGCCAATGTTTTGGGTTGTCGCTGTTCAAAATTTTAAATTTTAAAGTAAAGTTACGGAGTATTAGACGTACACGACTTTCTACAATAGTATGATAGCATAAACTCTCGTGGTTTTGCTTTGCGCTTCCTCAAGAAGCCTCATACCAATGGAGAGAGTATTTCTTGATTATAAACCCATGATCATTCCCTAAATTAGTCGATGTGGGACTTTCATCATCCACACCTCCCCTTGAACATAGTACACGCCTCCCCTTAATCGAGGCTCGATTTTTTTTTCTTTTGGAGTCTTAGTCATTTTTTACTATGCCTTTGAGGAGGCTCGACTCCTTTTCTTTTGGAGTCCTTTGTTCGACATTTGAGGATTGACCAATCTATTGACACGACTAAGTTTAGGAAATAACTCTGATACCATGTTAGATGAACACGACTCTCCACAATGATATGATATTCATTTGAGGATTTATCAATCTATTGACACGACTAAGTTTAGGGCATGACTCTAATACCATGTTAGATGAACTTGACTTTCCATATGATCATTCTCTATGGAGCATATGTTCAAAGTGATATCATTATAGAGGTATGTGATTCTAACAGTAGCAAACTAGTGAATTACTTATAGGTGCTATCAATTTCACCTCCACGTGGTTCTTAATCAAATTTCTCCCACCAACCTATATGTATTGTCATTTTGATTACCAACCACATGGCAACTCGGATTGAATAGCAATGTAGAGTTTTTATTTCTCCTCTTATTGGTCATTTTGACACCAATTACCATTTTAAAAATAATGGTCAATTTTTCTCTCACAAAAAATTGTTTTGATGTGAGTACGATATATATGAACACAATTATTAGTCTTTTAAGGCTCACAAAACTTCATTCAACAGTGTTTTTGTTCTCAATTATTATTTTTTAATTAATTTACATGAAAGCTCAACAATATTCTCTTATTCTTTACTCAACTTTAATAGAGTTAGTCAAATAAAAACTTTAGCTGGTTGCTACGTTAATTGAAAATGAGCTACATATGGTAACAACTTGTATAGAAGGAATAATTTGTGAGTGTGACTAAATTATGAAAATTAAATTAAATTTTGTGAAATTTTAGAGACTCGATTGAAAGTGTGTTAGTACCTAACTCTTATTTTTATTAAGGTATAGAAAATGGAAATAATAATAATAATAAAATAATAATAAACAAATATAGGGTCTAATTTATGGGGCCTTTTCCCTGTAAAAAGTGTAGGATTCTATTTGTGGAGTACTGATTTGATTTGTGGTTGGACTCTTTGATCGCGACCTTAAAAAAAATGTAGATTCCATTTCTCTTTCATGCACATTTTAAGATTCTTGGGCATCTAAAGATGCTTAGGGCATTTTAATTTGTGTTATTCTTCATCGACGATGAAAATCCCACATCAACTAATTTAGGAAATTAAGTGGACAATATCATACTATTATAAAGAGTTATGTAGATCTAACATGGTATCAGAGTCATACCTTAAACTTAGTCATGTCAATAAATTGGTAAATCCTCAAATATCGAACAAAGGACTCCAAGGAGTCGAGCCTCAATTAAGGAGAGAGTCCTACATCGACTAATTTAGGGAATGTTCATGGGTTTATAATCAAAGAACTCTCGTGAGACTTTTTGGGGAAGCACAAAGCAAAATGAGAGCTTATGATCAAAATATACAATACTATACCATTGTGGAAATGGTTATAATTTGTGAGCGTCAATTTCCCCAAGATTTACAAATTATCTCACCTTTGTTCTTTGTCTTTAGATGAATTTGAGAGTAAAACATAAACATAAAAGAATTAGAGCCCAAAGTCTACTAAGAATTAGAGCCCAAACATAAACAGGGGTTTTTAATCACACTAGTTAGGTCACTTATTAGATACCATACTTATCGTAAGACCATGAATTAACTTCCATATATATTATTTTAGACACTTTTTCTTGTATTATGAATTTAGGTAAGAATTAAGTGTTTTAATTCTCGAACCCCTATATTTTCACTTCCAATGATAAATTTTATGGGTTTACAATTTCGAAAATAAAAAAAGATTACATCATGCATGTGATAGATATCACGTCGTTAAAATAACTATCATTTCATAGAGTTTATTATGATTTGACTCGCGGCATATATATAACTTTTAAAAGAATGCACGCCAAAGAAAGCTTTATGGAAGAGAATAAACACCAAAATTAGATTCCTATGCTTTGAGATTCTTGGCCATTCAAAGATGCCAACGCATCTTCTAATTTGTTCTTCAAGTTGTACAATATTTATATTTAATGTAAATTATTGTTTGTCTTAAATTTTTACTGTTAATTTATCAAAGTTTGTAAAATAATATAATGTTCATGAAAACATAATATGAATATATTTTTAAAGAGGGAAGCTAATATTCAGAGTTGTCTCCTCTCCAATTTTATTTCAGTTTTATTACCAAAGAAATAAAATTTTAAGTATCAACAAAGAACAAAAACCAGAAAATGAAAATTTAAATGTACATTCATTGAGCATTAGCGTAGCCACGTGAAGATGCTTGCTACACACCAATAAACAACTCAGTATTCTAATCTTTCAATGCCGATCGCCCACTCCACCGCCGCCACCGCCGGAGTGTTAGTTCTCGGAATTAGTTTAATAATCGAGGAGGGTTTTCATCAGGTTTCATGTGAGTCGAGGGGGAAACACGTGTCCTCACCCCCGGTGTGCCACAGAAAATGGGCGTAGTTAGCGGCGTAGTACGAGTTGCCGGGTTCGGCAGAGATGGCCTCCAAGTAAGTCTCCTCCGCCGCCCATAAGTCGTTCCTTACTCGCCACAAGAAGGCGGCGTATTTGTCGAACGCCTCGGCCTCCGGCGGCTCTAACGCCACCGCCCGCTTGAAGTACTCCTCAGCTCTGCAAATCAAAAAAACGTAATTCAATATATGACTTATCTTGAATCTTTCTTGTTTCATGTAATTTCAATTCCAACAACATTGTTTCCTAAATATCTCTCTAAAAATGAACAAAAATGAACTCAACTTGCAAGATCTAGTGGACCACAGGTTATCGTAAACGACGAGAGAGAGGCCGAATTTTCTTTTCTTTTTTTGCGAAGGGAAGCGCGTGTGCACTCACGAGCAAAAGATCGTGACAAGTGCAATCGATTTTTGTTTTCTAGAACTTGAACCAGCGCCACACGAGTAGCGATCGGAAAGTTTTTCAAGAAAAACGATGACTCGGAAATTTCGTTTTTCGTATTGAACTCTCGGAATTTTGTGTAAATGTAAAATTTCTTTTCGTATAGTAAATTTCTTATAGGGAGAAATGGATTGCAGATCAGAAAAAGAAAGTGAAGATTGAAATTAAAATGCTATGAGTGAGAGAAAATGGACCTGTCATAATCATGGCCGACGAGGTAAAGAAACTGGGCGTAGTTCGTGAGGAGGAGCGGATTGTTAGGTTCTTGAACAAGGCTGGTTTGATAAAGAAGCTCTGTTCTTAAATAATCTGCGTAATCGTCTGATTCCATGTTCGCCGTTACTGGCGAAATCAGATTCTGCAACGCTTCGTGATCCAGAACTCCGTCACGCCATTGCCGCATCTTAGAAGCTTCTTCCACTATCGAATTCCACAACTCGGCTTCCTCCTCTTCTCTGTTTGAAACTGACTCTGGCTTCTTCGTCGTTCCAAGGGAAGAAACCTGAGAGGCGTTATCCGGAAGGATCGTTCCGTATTGATCGGACCGGTTCAACTGTCCGTCATCGTCGACTCCGCCGGCGATTGGCCGTACTTTACCACCGCCGCCATTGTTTCCACCTATCGATGTCGTTTTTCCGCTTGATGAAGACACGGAAAATGTTTTGATGGTGGATGAATCGAACTTTGAGTGGTGTTGGTTGTGTGATTCGACGACGGAAACCACCGCGGCTGGCGGCGGCGAAATGGAAGCAAAAGCGGCGTTGTTCCCCATGGAGTAGACTGTGAAATTGGCCAACAGGATCATAACGGAAACCATTAACGTTGGAGTGTGAGAGAAAACATGCTGAAATAGCCAAACAAACGAAGCGTGAGTTTCTTTCTGGACACGAACGAGAATGCTCTGTAGATCTTCGAAATAAAGAATCTCCCGCAGCCGCAGAGCATAGCTATGAAGTTCGCGAATCATAAACACAACAGATGAGAAGGCCTTTTTGACGGAGCAATGAGAAGATTGCCCCGATTCTCTGATATCCTCTTGCCATTGTAACTTCTTCTTTATCATTCTAAGCGAAACCGGAAGATCGAAGCTGTTCGCCTTCCGCTCAATCATTGCCGGAACAAGCTCGTCAGGCCCCGGCCAATCTGGAGGTTCGTGACCGGTTTCAGGCCACGATGGCTCTACATATCCGGATACTGAATCAAAATCTGAATCTGCACAGGTAGCGCTATTGCTACCGGCAGTTTCATCCTCATCAGCAGAATGTTGAAATCTGAGCGTGAGTTCCTGAATCTTCTTGGAAAATTCCTCGTCCGAGAAGGCATCCAAGCTCGCGCTGCAAGTTCTATTGATTCTACGATTCGTCCGCTTCGGAATCTCGCAAGATCGCGACCGATGGAGCGAGGTCGATTTCGAGCCAAACAGAGTCGATTGCTCCAACCTTTGAGCGCACCGCCACACGAGAGATCCTCCATCGGCATAGTTCCGGCGCTTGGAGGACGACGGAGACAAAACAGTAGAGGCTAGGGTTTGAGGAGATGAAGGACAATGAGGAATAAATGGCTGTGACCAATGGAAACAAGTCGTAGCTACCTTTACTTCCATAATCTTCCAGAAAAACCAGCGATATTAACAAGCCAAACAGAGGATTAAGGAATAGATAGAAGACGAAATTCGAAGCTTAACAACAAAGGCTAAATCGAAGCAGAATCAAAGAC